TTCATCTACAGTCTATGTGGGGTGCACCACTGTGTTCTAACGATATGAAGATAAGAAGATGTGTTTGTTCTGAGGTAAAGTCCATGATTTTTTCCCCCAGCTTTTCTGGATTATGCTCACTGCCCTGCAGCATCATAAAGTAGACATCACTATAATGTGAGTGGAGGAGATAATTTGGGCATATTTTACTGTCTTGTTTATTTATATATTTTTAAAAAAAGAAGCTGCAAAGCACCCACTGATGAGAGGGGCGAAAGAAAAAGCCAGATACTTACAGCATCTCCCTTCCACAGAGCTCCAAAACTGTAGTGTGAGATGACATTGCAACAGTCCACTCTCTCCTGAAAACAACCATGCAGCTTCTTGGCGTTTTAATCTTAATATTATTATTCTCTCATCTACTGCACAACAGGAGCTTGGATGGAGGAGTACAGAAGAAATCTCAGAATCTCTGGTAGAAAATAATTCCCAGCGTGTCCAAAAGAAAAAAAAAAAGAAAAAAAAACAGGAAAGATAAAAAAAGATGAATGAAATCCCCTCTTGGCTTTAACACTTCACAGGTGCAGCGGTGAACAGAACCACTGTTGTTTGTAATCCAATCTTCATTGCGTGTGTGCGCCTACACTGCTGATGCTCCACTGCAATCTCTGTTGGCCCCCCGCGCGCAGTGTGGGGATGGAGGTGGTGGTGGTGGGGGGAGATGGGGGCGAGGGTAAACGGAGGGAGAGGAGTGGAGGGAGAGGGTGGGGGGGCTCAACTTGCCTCGGTTGGGATCGGAGTTGCCCTGGATGCCGTGGTTCCTGTCCCGGGAGGAGAGGACGCGCATCGCACGCATGGAAAGCAGCAGCAGCAGCAGCAGACGGGGGACGCTCCGGCCGGCGGCGGGCTGCAGAAACCCTGCATGGGACTCGCTCCGAAAGCCTCTCTCGAGCTGCCGCACGCGCGGGCGCGTGGGAACGGTGGTGGTGGTGGGGGGGAACAAGGAGGCGAGGGGGCAGTGAGTGAGTGAGTGTGCGCGTGTGTGCTGAACGTGCGTATGCCCGCGCGCTTCTGCAGATGCAGGGGCAGCTGGATGGACGGACTGGCGGGTCCGTCAGTCTGCTGCGCGCGCTCTTCCCCTCGCTCTCTCTCCTCTCTGCGCTAAAAGCTTCAGCAGCAGCAGGTCGATCCGTTCAACAGGAATCTGTCCTGGAAGGCAACAACTCCTCCGAAACTGTTTTCAGTCGCATGACTAAGGTTGTTCCGTAAAGACTCAAAGAACAGACTCAAGAAATCATGCTTTTTAAAAAAATAAGATAACTACTAAAAATGATGCTGCAAAACAAATCAGAAGTTATACTGTAATCTAATCGTTTTTAGTAGATGGATAATATATGTGTGTGTATGTGTGTGTGTGTGTGTGTGTGTGTATATATAT